TTGTCAATTCGATAAAACATTGGGTAAAAAATTATGTACAAATAGAATTACACCTCAAAAGCAAACTATTAAAGTTATAGAGTTCAAATCCGTATAAACCATACTTCATCGAAAGTCCATACTTTCAATGTGAGATTTAAATCTCATACCTCTAATGGGAACTATAACAATCCACCACGATCCCAACACCTACGTCGAACTAGTTTTGCGCTTGCCCATGATTACTCCGGGACGAACATTGCTATGTTGAAGTCATCATTCGCGCCGCTCGATTGTGGCGAGGAGATGTGGTGCTTGCTCTGATACCATTGATATAATTCTTGGGGAAGTCATACCTCAAAAACTAGTTATTGAAGTTGGAAAACTCAAATTTATATAAATCACACATCGAATGTTCGTACTTTCGATGTGGGATTCAAGTTCCATATCTTATAATGGGAACCGTAACAATTTGATTCCCATTAAAACAATACAATTTATTTTTCATACTCATTTTCAACCACACATTCACGCAATAAAATATTTTAAATATACATTCAAAAGTTTTTCTCACTTTTCAATTATTCATTTTTTAAAAAATTACTATTCAAAATATCTTTTTTACATAATAATGGCCATAAAATAGAGACTTAACCTTTCAGAAGAGTTAAAGATATGTGTATTATATGCAATTATGCATGTCATATCGTTACGGGATACTATTTATATTAGCAACAAATGATTACTCAATTCAAAATATTCCACTATAATATTCATGTAACATCGATAACACAATATGTCATCGTCTTCTTTTCTCTTCGTAGTTCATGATTTGAGAATTTTCTATCCACTCTCCACGCGACTTTTATACCACTTTATATAAAAATAGTACAATTTATAGACTTTGAATTCATCAAGCACGTTACAAAAAGTCCCCTGTCTATTGCGGTAACTAGCTCAAAGTTGATGATAATTTGTTCTCCTTTCTAATTTCGACATAAGGCAAAGTCTCTCACGCACTTTATTAGAAAGCGACAATTTTAATTCTTAACGCCTTATTTGAGTAGTAAGTCGATCATTGATTATTAAAAGTATTAAATTGGCAATGAAACTTTCATTATAAACGCACAATTAATTTCATACTGCAGAAGTCATCCAAACTTCTCGAACCCATCATTTTGGCTCCATATCATACTTTAAATTTCTAATTATCTAATCAAACTAACTAAGTTCAATAATATGTAGGTCAGATGATACAAAAATTGAAATGATACATGTTTAACACGTCGGATTAGAAACATGTATGTGAGTTGTTTATAATGTATTTAAATTATATACGAATAGAATTAAGTGGTAATTAAATAAGTATGATGTAATTGTAGTTCAACAAATTATATTCATAAAAACTATTTAATCGATTATAAACGAGTGGAAAGCAAGGGCTGAATGTGCAATATTTCTTGTTGAAGTCACTTCACGACTTTGTTATGTGAACTATTCAGTTAGGATAGGATTCCATTTCAGGCACTTTACCGATATCCCTGAAAAGTAACCAAGGGGCATCGTATTCGTTCAGAATCCACTTTTTTGAATGTAAAATTTCTCTTTGCTTTTTGAGTATCACGTTATGCGCAGCAACCAAGAATGTCAGAAATCTTACTGTTTAGGGTCCACAAATGGACCACTGAGAGAATCAAATGTAGGCTTTTTAGCATTGGAAAGTAAGTGGGGACGTAAACATATGAAAGCAATTTCACACCATTAGGGAATCACATCGAAGAAACTAGAGTAGATGGTCAATTTATGAGGGGAACTAAATATGGGAAATTGTAGCTACTAGTTAACGGTCTATTCCAAGGTCGGTTGGGCTGGTTAGTTGGCTGCACTTATGTGAGCCATGGTGTCTTTGATTCGCGTCAATGATGAGTTGACTCGGATGTCACATATTTCACATGGTCAATTAAACGATTAGTGCAAGTAACTTTTTGTCATGTCAATTGTCAATAGTAATTCTAGTATATTTCAGACTTCCAGTCATCCTAGCAAAGTGTGGATTGATTTACAAATTTTGTTCTAAATTTCATTCAATGGTAGATCTTACGGAATAAAGAAATAGATTTTAATCTAAATCAAAATCAACAATTAATTTTAATAATTTATTTCATGGGGTTCAGATATTTTTAACCACACATTTCATCATTTTTTAAAATTAAAACCTACTAAAAATCTGATTTTAATATCCACCAAACCGAGGTCAAGTCATAAATGGAGTACAATTATCTGCTCTGAACTTGGATTTCCACGGTTTATACTAGATACAAACACGATAACCGTCATAACAAAAGTAATTATTTTTTATCCTTTCTTATTAGGAAAGGGTAGTCTCAATACCTTGATGTCCTCTTTAATTTTGGTAGTAACAAGATACATGACAATATTATAAATTTATAATTCGACTAATTTTCAATGAATTTTATAGGTTTGTTTCAATTTTCTAAATATAAAATGTAGATGTCTTAAATCATATCACACTACATCATGTGTATGTAAATCAGTATATAAATTATTATGTACATGTAGTACATTCATTTTCTCTTTCACTAAGACCATGTTTGGCATGACTTTTATTTTTGCTTTCCGTAAAAGATCTTTTGAAGAAAGTTATCTTAATTTTTATTTGAAAACTAATTTTTAAAAGAACAATCTATTTTGGAAGTTTTTTTTTAGAGGAAGTCACATTTAACTAATTTCCTCTAAATTTTTTTCTAACTATCAAAAACACTTACATAAAATTAGTTAAAAGGATCCAAAAGTAATTTTCGAATCTCTCCTTTTGATTTTTTAAAGTGGTAATTACAGACAACCCTACTTTTCAATATTCAAATTCTAAAATCAGATTTCATGTTTTAATATTAAAAAATCAGATATTTTATAGATAGATACAAATTTTTTATATTTAATTAAATAATAATAATAATAATATTATACAAATTAATTTATATATACTCACCCCACCCCTAAAATTTAATTATCAAACCCTAACCTACCCTGTTTCTCTCATCCCCGTCCCTCTCAAACTCGATTTGAAGCCTCCGCCTCTGCCTTTCGACGATGATTTGCAGTGTTTTTCTAGAACTGATCTTGGTTAGTAGATAGGCAAACGAAGAGAGAGAGAGAGAGCTTGGCGATGGCACGTCGGCGCTTAAGAGTGGCACCGCTGCTGGAGGAGAGGGTATGACCGGCGTCGGACTCTTCGGGGCAAGCCACGGCCACCAGGCATTCAACAAGAGAGCGGTTCAAGTGGCGACAAGGAGTCCCCTCATCTCCTCTCTCTGTGAACCGTCGTTGCGAGACCACCGAGGTTGGTCGAATCTAGTGGCGTCGTGATGGTAAGATGGGGTTGGGTGGCTGTGGCGTGCTACTGTGATGTCGACGAGGGGGTATTCTCGTCAGATCTGAAATTGGGAAAGCGTCCAGTGCTGGTAACTCAATTTGTGAAATGATTAGCTAAAAATGTAGACATAAGCAGCAATGGCAGAGGCTGGAGGAACTAATTTACAAAGTACCGTCTATGGTTTGTAGTGGTGCGTCTGTGTTCGCTGGTGTTTTGTTGCTGTGATTTGTGTTTTTTGATGTGGTTGGCAGCGGTGTGTCGGTGTTCGTTGGTTTTTTTTTTGGTGCATGTTTTGGGTATTTGTGGTAGTAGGTCCCGGTTGTGNGGTTTTTTTTGTTGTGGGCTTTGGGGATTTGTGGTAGTAGGTCGCGGTTTTGGGGGCTGCTTGGTGTTGGTGGAGGCGCCGTCGTCAAAGAACTCGCAAGGTTGGCCGACGCTGCTTGTAGTGGGTTTTGTGGTGATTGTTCGACATGTTTTGTTGTGATTTTTGATGCGGTGGCTGTCATCGGGTTTTGTGGATACTTTGGTGGGGGGTGGTATAAACGGAGATGGTGGTGATGGTGTGTATGTGTTGCGGGTGTGGTGGTGGGGGGTTTGGCAGGGGATGGTTTTTGGTTTGCTGTCGATTGGTGAGGCAGTTTTGGTGACGTTAGTTATGGTGGTTGTGGTGAGTTGCCGGCTGTGATGGCAGCGGCGGAGTAGGGTTAGGGCATGTAAGATGGTGGTGGTGGTATATTGTATATGACCAATGCTGTGACTTGACCCATGTGCTGTAACCTATGCTGTGACTTGAGTCATGTGCTGTGACCTATGCTGTAACTATCAACAAAAACCTAAGCGTTTGAAAATAACGTGAGACTGTGAACAATTGTGCCGTGATCATTTGAAAATAATTTGTAACTTGTGCTGTGACCATTATAAAATAATCTGTGACTATTAAAAAAAATGTGAGACATGAGCATTATCGTGTTATTAATCATTATAAACAAACAACCATACGTTGTGACCTGGGCTGTGACTGAACAAAAAAATTAATGTTACCGGAATAGTCGTTGAAATCGGAGCAGTTGCTGGAATCATCACTGGAATCGGAGTAGTCGCCGGAGAAGTCACCGGGAATGGTCGCCGAAGAAGTCGCCGGAAACGGTCGCCGGAAAGGTCCCCAGAGCGGTAGGGGTGGTGGAGGTGGGGGTAGGTTAATCATTTTATAATAGAAATAAATATTGATAATAAATTAATTTAGTAATTATTATTTTATTATTAAAAATTTA